ATTATGGAAGGCGGAGAAAAGCAAATTCTAGCTTATTGGTATCCTTAAAAATAAAAGATAAATCCTAAAACACACACAAAGAGACCTAATAAAATGGCTAAATATAAGAGAAATGTACAGCACCAAATTTGGAGATATGCCACGAGCAACTGCAGAGCCTCCGATAGTGTATTCCAATATTAACGCCCAACCAATCAACCAAGCAACACTGCATGCAATCCAAGGAGTTGAAGAAATTACCAAAAAATATCTGAAAGCTTGATCAAAAAATCAAGTAATGATAGTTAGCAGCAAACTGAAAGCTCGGTTTTGCGAAGTGGCAACAACAGTTCCTCTAGTTCCTCCAAAGCCATACTTCTATATAAGCAAACAAACATCAAGTCTAGGTTTGTTCGCACCAAATTTGGTGCTCACAATTAGCTTTTAGAAGAGTTCTAATTGTTAAGTAGTGGAGCATAATTATTGCCGCGTGCAGAGCCATTACACGGATCAACTTTCGCGGTGAGGTCGCCATAGGAGTTGGAAGTCCACCTCCCGGACCAAAATTTTATTAAGGATGGTTTAGAAATTTGTGTCCTTTCAAATTTTGGTTTTGCCTTAATTTGTCTGATAAATAGGGAGCCATCATTAGACTTTTGAATTACCACCATTAAAGAGAGAAAGAGAGGTTGGAGTAGATACTTGTGCAATAGGTGATTATTGCAGAAGCGGAAGAGACATAGTTTTACATTGAGGTGAACCTTTATAAATATTGCGTGTCTTTATTTCTTTTTGCTAATTGATTGCTCTCGGTGGAATAATTTCTAATTCTCAACAATAATTAAATCAGAAAAAGGTTTTCCAAATTTCTAATTTTGAAGACTTATCCCACAATACTATCACAACTAAGTTTATCGCTACAATGCTATCGATCCTACTTCACACAATCTCCATGCGATCAAGCTGGTGACAATATCCTCTTGAGAAGTAAAAGATGGTATGCTATACAATCAAAAATATCTCCCCACAAATGATGGAATTTAAATATTACCCTTCTCCTACGCATATGTAAGAATAATGATAGGCACTCCCAGCTGATGGACAACGACTCGCCAGCTCAGCATAGCAGAAGGCAGAAAGAGCAGCTGCTATACCAGCTATTAGAAAGGAAAAAGTAAGGGCTGGTCCTGAATGCTCCCTAGCGACTGTGCCAACAAGAATATAAACTCCAGCACCAATAGTGGAACCAACTCCTACAAAATTCAGCCAATCAACTTTTTAACCATAATTTTGTTTATAGCATACGTTCAATACATAAAAGGCATTCTCAAGTTACTAGCAGACCTTTAAAACCCACTAAATAGTCTATAAAGCCCATTTTTGCAATTTAAAACATATATGAAATACAGAAATAAAGGCAAATACAAAACAGGAATGAAATGGATGAAGGATTCAAAAGGATCATGAAAATTTAATCAAGAAACTGAAGGCATATAATTAAACATCTTAGAAGGCTACAGTTGTGAAAGCAACAAAGCAAAAAATCTGTATAAAAATCTAAATATTGAACAACATAGAATATAAGAACATAAACAAATTTATACCTATGGCAATAAGATGAGGCACAGTTAAAGCCTTGGCCAATTGATGATTACCACTCCCTGAGGCAGATGGTGACTTAGAATGAGCAGAATCCACCTGTTTTCTCCTCACGAGACTCCTCAAACCTCCAACACCACCGTCACTTTTCTGTGTATCACAAAGAAAGCCCATACCCCACAAAATAAATCCAAATTGGGTGTTCAAAGATTAAACTTTTCTTGCAAAATATCTAATGTATATAAAGATCACAACTTTGAGGGTGTATGCAGATATATCTCCTTAATAAATCTAACCCAACGAATAATTAAATATGTGCAAGAAAATCTTGGACAGAGATCATGAAGTGGTGACGGGCTGCTGCTTGATGATACAATCCCAAAGGCAAGAAAAGATAAAATCTTTTTGGAATTAGAGCCTTTGGATTGGTGGATTGGAGGTGGGTTAGGGGTGGAGATTCAGCTGGGATTATAATCTAGAGGAAAAGAGAGAGCGATTTAAATTCTTTGGTTTTATATTTTTGTTGTTCTGAATTACTCAATAAGAGAAAGGAAGCGTTCGGTTGAAACAATGGATCATTTATTTATTGTCAATTATTTATTTTATAGCCTGCATCTCGCGGAAGCGCGTGCGTGGCCATACTGGTTTTCTATACATATTTATTGGCACTTGATTTTTTGTAATTATATCCACTAGCGTACATAATTATACCACAAAGGGTCCTCGATTTCGATTTCAAAATTTATTATTCCTCTCCGCAATCTCACTAATACATTAAGGGTCCGTTTGATTGATTTAAATTCTATGAAAAATATCACATCTGAGATATTCAATTTTTACTTTGCCCGTTTATTACGAAAGTGAAAATGGAGTTCGAATTCCAAGATATAACTACTTTAAACTTTTTTTTTTTTTTTTACCAATTTCATGGGAAATGAATTCTTATGAGATATTTGCATTTTTATTTTCCAACTTACATGGAATTGAAAAATTTTTTCACATTTGATTTGACAATTAATCAGATCATAATAACATTACGACACATAACTCCTCCTGAGCAAATAAAAGGATGTTAACACATCTTTTACACAAACACATTACACCTTGACCCCTTCTCGTTTAATAAGAGGACACTATACGTCGAAGTGTCAAAATTGTATTGAAAAGACAACATGTTCAGGACAACGTCTCAACTTATTTTGAAACTACTAAAATAACAAATAACTTTTTTGTCTAAAATCTAGTTTGGTTCAACTAAAATTTAGACTAAAATTTAAGTCAAAGTCAACAATTAATTTTAATTACATAATTTATGGGAATCCCAACTTTTCAATCATATGTTTTTACTATTTTTATTAAAATCTACTTAAATTCTGATTTTCATTTTAACCAAATAGATACGTAATATGCTCGGTATATATTAACTAGTTGACATATTTTTAAGTTATTTAGTTAATTCTATTTAATTGAATGTATCAATAGGCATTGTTTATTGAGAGATGCTATTCGTACCGGGGGNATTATCACAAGCAAAGAAACAAAACCTTGATTTGGAGAATAGAAATCTTGATTAAAACTGAAACTCGTCGATTCCGCCTTCGATTCTGCTTGACCGGAACAAACTGTCCCCTCGTTTCAACCTTCATTTTGGTTGAGTTTTGCCTCTATAGATCGATTTACAAGGAGGTGGGAGAGTGAGAGAGTTGAGAGAGAGGGAAAGAGTGAGGGTGAGAGTGAGAGTCCGTTTCGCGTGTTTTCTATATTTTCCTTGTTTTGGCTAACAATTTACAAAACGGTGTTTTGGTTGTTTTCTATTTTCAGACATAGTTATTTTTGCATTTTCCAAAATGCGTTTTGGAAAATAAGATAGAGAACGCGTTTTCATTGTTTTGAGAAACTAAAAATAAAAAATGATTGGAAAACGACAAAGAGAACAGTGCCTTAATGATTGTACACCTAGCATTGATCTTAATAAGAGGATACAATATGTCGAATTGCATTGAAAAGACAACATATTCAGAACAACGTGTCAACTTATTTTCAAATTACTAAAAAAACAAATAGTAACTTTTTTGTCTAAAATCTAGTTTGGTTCAGCTAAAATTTAGATTGAAATTTAAATCAAAATCAACAATTAATTTTAATTACATATTTTATGGATTCCCAACTTTTCAATCATATGTTTTTACAATTGGTAATACTATTCATCCCCACTGGAGGTAAAAACACAATCTAAGTGGTATCAATGCAGCATTAAATGATAGGTGAAATTAAATAAGTCATTCAATTTCACCTTTCATTTAATCTATCATTTAAGGCCACATAAACTGTGTTTTCATCCTCATTGGAAATGAATAACATTACTCTTTTACAATTTTTATTAAAATCTATTTAAATTTTGATTTTCGTTTTAACCAAATAGATACGTAATATGCTCGGTATATATTAACTAGTTGCCATATTTTTAAGTTATATATCTAATTCTATTTAATTGAACGTATCAATAGGCATTGTTTATTCTTGTGCACACAATTTGTGGGGTTACAACCACTTCAAGAATATAAACATTGTTTATCGTTAGTGTACGCGCTTAATGCTTTTTATTAGCGTTTAGAATCGAAATTCATACCAAACTTTGTATAGTTTAAGGTAGGTTTGTTTATTTAAAATTAGCATAATTAAAAACTAAAAAGCACATTCTTTTCTAGTTTAATATATAATATTAAAAAAAGTGATAGACATTTTCAATGTTTTGACTTGCAATTGAGGTAATATTCAAAGGGTTCGCTAACCTAACTTTTCATTTTTTTTTTCAAAGTCATTGCGTGTGTACTAATATATATTATGAGAAGTTTGAGTGTTCTATAAAGTCGACCTATGACCATTCTAGTCCTGAAAAGATAATCATTTTGAATTTTTTAAGATCGTGTTTGACAACGAGAATTACTTATCTGATTTTATTTTTTTTTATTCTCTAACTTGTTCGATACTATCTAATTCAACGTAGCAAAAATTACGAACACGTCGTTTCTTCATAAAAATATGTTATAAAAGCGTAAAATAGTTTAGATTAATTCATTCATTTTAGCTCAACGTTAATTACGCTGCACTTCAACTCAAAAAAAATTAAAATTCAACCATTAATTATGCACTACTTAAAGTCGAAAATGACAAGCGCACAGACGCACAGTGTATGAACTTTCAATTAGATATGTCGACTATAATTTGTCAATCGTAATCGATATTAGCGACAAGTCATTATACATCAGATTAGACTAAAATGACAAATATTATCACAACAATTTTTTCTCTTGTATCCTATTCTGAATCAATACATTGTTGAATTTTTCTTTTTTTTCTTTTTATATACCCCATTAATTCCATTTTCAGAGTATGAACGTGGAGAGGGGTCCATTTCGCGTTCAGACGAATTTCAGAACCAAATCTGAGACTGAGACTAACCATTTTAGGATTTCTGGACTGACATTTTCTGAATGGTATGGTCCGTATCTGAACAACGCAAAGAGATAATATTATATATTCACTGACATTTTTTTTTATTATTATTCGGAAAAAAATCTGGTACGTTCGAATCAATTCGTGAAGAACACTTGCACTGCACGTAATTTTGTAGAATATTTTGATTTTTTAATGTATTTTTAAACAATAATAGTTGTATATACAAGACTAAAATCAAATATTCAGTCAATATATATGTAATTCCCATTAAGTAAACAATGTGAAAATTTTAATATCATTTGTATTGAATCCATAAAAAAAATCTAAAACAAATTATTCAAAATTGACAACATGCTATTAACAAATTAAGTATTGTTGTCAATATAAATAATTATTTTCTCATCGGTATGCTTGACTTGTTAATAAATACTACGTGCAAGCAACGTGCAATGCACGTTTGCCTAGTTTATATTTAATAGTTTTGTTTAAGAATTAATTTGTTATTAATAAAGATGTAATTTTTTTGGTTAATTAAATAATTAATGATGTAATGTTTATGTAATT